TAATTAGAAATGTCAATAAACCTGTTTTCATTTTGAAACCAAATGAATCATTTCACACAAGCCAGCAGTGTGGGCTCCCAGTCAGAGTGGCGGTCCTCAGGCTTGGCTACATTTTAGAGTCACCTGGAAAATTCCCAAGCCTGAGTTCCACCTCCAGAGATTCCGACACGGTCGGGGATGAGGCATCAGACTTTCCAAAGGGATTCTAATGTGCACTCAGGATTGGTCCGGAGGTTGAGGGTGTTGCTTGAAATTGATTGGTGGACACACAGGACCCAGTGTGAGTTTTTCTCCGTTTGAGCACCTACTTAGGACTTTAAATCAGGGTATAACTTTGAAATGCGATATTATTCAGGGTAAGGTTCATTTAAATTATTTGGATGTGGACAAGGCCTGGGCAAGTATGCCCTCGACATTCTCCTGGTGCATTTCAAAGGTGGCTTAGGTGGCTCTTTTCTAGAGCACATTCTAGAGGACAGGGTAATGACTATTTTTAGAGGCCTCAAAATCCTTTGAAAATCTGATGGAAATTGCTCTCACTTATTGAGCACTTTCTAAGGACCAGGCGTTTTGCAAGGTGCTCCACTTGTACCAAGTGATTTAGTCCTTCAGACAACCTTACAAAGGAGGTGCTATTAATATCCTCATTGCTCATATGAGGAAACCAAGGCTCAGAGCATTTATGTGACTGCCCCAAATCCTGGCTGGTCCGTGGCGGGGCAGGCATTGTAACCCAGGAGGTCTAGCTTCAGAACTAGCACCCCTAACTGCTAGCTTGGGAAGGTCTGCTCAGAAAAGCACACATTTGCTCCGATGCACCTGTCCGTATGCAGTTCCAGAGGTGCATGGATGCCTGCAGCTGCGCATGGGCCCAGGAAAAAGCCAGTCTCTAGGGGACATCTGTGCAGGGTGCCCATTGCCCTTGCTGCAGCCACTGCTGCCCTCGTGCTCCATCTGCATGCCAATGCTAATCGCAAAGCATGCAGCACCCTGCTGCTCTCGGATCCTCATCAGTGGGTGGATGGGACACCATCAGACCAAACACCAGAACTGAATTGTAAGTTCCCCCGGGTGAGTGAGCCAGTGGGAGAGGAGCACAGAACTGGGACGGGATGCCTGGGTTCTGGTCCCAGTCTCTGGGCCTAGTTTCTTCCTCTGTGAAACCGGGTGGAGATTTTCAAAGAGAAACTCTATGGGCCCTTCTGGTTCCGTGGTTATATGTACCCTCTGTGATGCTGCGAGTGTGTGTGTGGGTTTAGGGTTCATCCCGGGATGCTAGCGTTTTGCAGGACAGGTCACACAGCTTGCCTTGGGATATTCAGGGGCATGGGGCTAGGCTGAGGCCTTGAGAGTGGGACCATCCATTGCCTCCTGGTGGGAGGCTTAGCCTCCACTGGGCCAACGAAGAGTAGAAGCTTCCTGCAAGGCCACCCACTAGAGCCAAAAAAAAGCAGCCCTCATGTACCATGTCATCGCCACAGTGGGTGCTCAGAGCTGCGGTTGCTCGAGTGGGCACCGTTCAGGCAAGGACTGTGCCCTGCCTCTGCCGGGCCTGGTCCTCCAGGACAACAGACGCCAGGCCCACCCTCATTGCCTAAGAGGGTGGCCTGACAAGCAGGGGCTTGTTTTGTGTTTTCCTGCGTAGATCCTGGAAAACACTCCAGAAAACCACCCCGACCACAGCCACCTGAAGCACGCCCTGGAGAAGGCGGAGGAGCTGTGCTCCCAGGTGAACGAAGGAGTGCGTGAGAAGGAGAACTCGGACCGGCTGGAGTGGATCCAAGCCCACGTGCAGTGTGAAGGCCTGTCCGAGGTAGCCGCCTCCGGGCTGGGACCCGGCCTTCCCCGGCTGAGCCTGGGCAGCCAGCCTGGAAGAGGACACGAGAAATCCTGACTCAGCCTGCAGCTCCCCAGTCCCTTCAGCCGCTTCTCACCTGCTGTTGAATCCATCCACTGAGATTTTTATTTCAATTATATTATTTCCCATTGCCAGAAGTTCTACTTATTTTCTCCTGTCTATTGGTTTCTTTCTTGTATCTTATTTTTTGCTAAAATGTTCATGCTTCTCATTTATTTCTTAACACGTTTTAAACATATTCCTATATACTCCACATCTGATAATCACAATACCTAAACTTATGGGTCTCATTTTTTTTGCCTGTTGTTTCTGCTAGCTTCTGCTCATCATGCCTTGTGTCTCTGTATGTATTGTGATTTTTTATTTTTATTTTTTTGACACAGGGTCTTGCTCTGTTGCCCTGGTTAGAATGCAGTGACATCATCATAGCTCACTGCGACCTCAAACTCCTGGGCTCAAGTGATTCTTCTGCCTCAGCCTCCCGAATAGCTGGGACTACAGGCATGTGCCACCATGCCTGGCTAATTTTTCTATTTTTTGTAGAGATGGGGTCTTGCTCTTGCTCAGGCTGGTCTTGAACCCCTGGCCTCAAGCAATCCTCCCACCTCGGCCTCCCAAAGTGCTGGGATTACAGGCGTGAGCCACCACACCTGGCCATGTATTGTGATTTTTGACTGTGAACTCAATGTCCCTCGGAACTGTACCCGTGGGCATCTTTGCTGTCCGAAGTTGCATTCCTCCTGAGAGGATTGCTACCAGGGTGACCCTAAATTAACCTAGAGGGGTTTGGGGGGATCACTCCAGTTGTGTGAGTTATGGTTATAAACTTGAGTAAGAGCTACCTGGTGGTCACAGATTCCCGGGGGCATATTTTCCTGCAATACAGCAAGGCCAAAACCAGAACAGTTTTCTTGCTCATTCCTTCTGTGCTTGTGTTTACTTGTCCTTCCCCCTCTGGGTCCGGCTTTTTGTGGGGCTCTCCTATTAGACCCCTCACCTTGGCCCTGGATATGTCTGTCTCCGCACCCTACGTAGCCATGAAAATGGAAGTTCAACATCACCAGATTCAAGAGAGACCCAAAGAGCCACAGCTGGCTTTGGTGCTCGATTATCTTCCAAGGCTCCCATTTTCATTCTGTTTTTGGCTTCTGTAAATTTCTTACTTTGTTTTTCTTTTGTTTTATTTTATTGCCAGATTGCTTGCATTCAAAAACTGAATCTTTGTATTTTACTCAGTTTTTTTTTTTAGTTTTTGTTGGGTGAGTCATTCAAAGCATCTAGTCCACCATACTTCCAGAAACAGAGGTCTCTCCTTTGGTTTTTAATTCTCTTCTTGTCATTTAACTTTTCCTCTAGTCTCATTCATTCTGTCTGCCTGTTTTTTCTCTATGCTTCTGTTTATACCTGCACGTGTGCACACACAGACACACACAAACAGGCATGTACACACACACACACACACACACACACACACACACACACACACACACCTCACTCACTAGGGCTTCCCAAAATGCCCAGGGAGAATGCATCTCCCTCGTCCTCTCTCTCTGTGGTTTCTTCCCTCTCATAAGCTTCAAAGGCAGTCACTGCCTGGGGACGTCACCACCCCTGGTTCCTCTGCAGACCCACCGCTTGTCCGCCGTACGTAGGGTGGGATGAGCAGAGTTGTGAAGCAGCTCTGTGGACGCGGAGGTGATGGCCGTGGGCTCCCGTTATGGAATGTCGTGTTGCCGTGCAGTCCGGGGCAGTCTTTGGTGGACGGGCTCACGGATTCACTCAGCTGTTCAATCATCCCACAAGCGTTTATTGAGTATCCACCCATGTGCCATCATTCCATGTGCCATTGCACGGTGCTGAACCCTGAGGACGTAAAAATAGATAAGACGCGACCCCCACTCTCTGGGAGCTTATGGTCCTGGTGGAAGCTGGGGGCAGAACTGACATTTACGACACGACGTGCGGAGCCATGAGGCCGAGCTGGGTGCCCAGTGCTGTGGGAGCAGGTGGTGGCAGTGGGGGGGTATTCAGGGAGCCCTGGAGAAGGTGGCTGGGTGTTGAAGGATGCAGATGTCCGTCCAGTAAAGGCTGGGGGACGGACCATTAGGTGTGGAGGGCCCGCTCTGAACAGGGCGTCGGGGAGGAAGGTAGAGCAACAATGGGCCGTAGGTACGGGGCAGGCTGAGGCCCTGCAAGGAAGGCCCATGTGTCATTCGAAGGGATGTTAGCATAACTAGATCCTGAAGACAAGGGACTCGAGTGGCTCCTGAGCTGCCCAGCAGAAATGCTGACGTGGCCACATGCACTTTAGAAAGGTCCCTTCCTCCCCCGAGTCCGACAGCTCCAATGAGAGGGACTCAGTGAGGCCGAGGTCTTCGTCCTTTGATTTTTCAGCTTATGTGCTCCCTTTGAAACCAGCTTATCGTCCTTCTTTTTTTTTTTTTTTGAGACAGAGTCTCACTGTGTTGCCCGAGCTAGAGTGCCGTGGCGTCATCCTAGCTCACAGCAACCTCAAACTCCTGGGCTCAAGTGATCCTTCTGCCTCAGCCTCCCAAGTAGCTGGGACTACAGGCATGCGCCACCATGCCCGGCTAATTTTTTCTATATATTTTTAGTTGTCCAATTAATTTCTTTCTATTTTTTTTAGTAGAGACGAGGTCTCACTCTTGCTCAGGCTGGTTTCGAGCTCCTGAGCTCAAACAATCCACCCGCCTCGGCCTCCCAGAGTGCTAGGATTACAGGCGTGAGCCACCACGCCGGGCCTATCGTCCTTTACTGGTCGGTCTTGCCCAGCTATTGAGCACCTGCTTCGGTTTTGTCTTTGTGGTGCTCACAGTGACGGGAAGGGGACACGCTGGCTTCTGTGAACTGACTTCCGATCACAGTTTGGATCCCAGGTGGCCCATGTTGAGACACACGCCAGTGATTAAATAACCGCTGTCTGTGGCATTCTTGTCTGAAGATAGAAAAATGTAAATGCTATTTCCAACTCACGTATGTTCGGTGTTGTCCTGGCCTTCACATCAACGTTCATGTCGTTGGATCCAGTGACACTCGCCTTCTCTTGATTCATTGTCCCCAGGCAGCTTGAAGCCTCTCTTGACAAGTAGGAAGGGCTAGACTGGTCTGCAGGCTCCTGTTCAGAGGGCGAGGGGTGAAGAACATTCTTTGAGGGCCCCCGTTGTGGGGTTGCCCTCAGTCTTTCGGGCTCTTGGAGCCTCTCTGGGAGGTGAGAGGCCGTCCTTCCTCCTCGTGGCTGGGAGCAGAGTGCAGTGGCCACTTCCTTTGCCACCCATAGGTCTCCAGTCACAGAGGTGCCACTGAAGGTGGCATTGGAGGTGACAGGTGGCCACCAGCATCTCTTGGGGGACACCTGTTGTGAACCCATCACCCCTTCACAAATACTCTCCTCAGAGAAGTCTGTAGGGCTCGTAGCTCAGGAGAGAGCCTTGGCCTTCAAGGCACTGGGTGGAGCGGCCCCTGGGCCAGGTGTGTGGGCAGACGGGGTGTGAGAGTCTGGCCTCTGCGTGGGTGACAGTCTTGCCTTGCCTTCCTCGGTCTCTCCCCTGCTGTCCAAAAGGTGGCCTTAGTGGGTTATCTGCACCTCAGTCCCCCACTGCCCCTTCAGAACCTGCTGGGGGGAGGTGATAGAGCCCGGTGAGATGTCAGAGCAGCCCTCTGTGAGGGTCGGTAAGTGGAGGGAGACAGCTGTCCCCTTTACATTTTCTAAACGAGTGGTTCAGGTGAGACTGGATACAGTGTCTGTTCTGTTTGGCACAGAGATGTCACTAAACACCACTGAATTTTGCAGTCACACCTGTGCTAGGGGCCTGGACTCCAGCTGCACTTTGGAAAGTAGCATTTGTCCCACAGGATCATACACAGAGTCCCTGCTGTTTCCAGAAGCACAAAGGACTGTTGCACCTGTGTGGGGCCTTCTCGTTGGAGCTGGTTCCCAGCGCTGCAGCACAGCACTTTACACAGGGCAGGCGGCCCTCCAGGCGGGAGCCCACTGGGCACTTTTTTTCCTGCTGCCCCAATTCCTCAGTAAATAACAAAGCACGCCAATCGCACCCCAAGACACTGGCATAGCCCTAGGGGAAAAGCCTTCAGCATTGTAACCGAGACTCCTTCTGATACCTGGAATCCCCAGAACCATGCTTTTGACCGACTCCGACTTCTTGGTGCCAAAAGGCACTGCCTAAAGTCCCCAGAGCTGTCCTTGCTCTGTGCCTAAGACACGGGCCTCAGGTTCTGCTGGAGACCATGCTTTTGGCTACAGAGAAACCAAAACATCGTGTCTTCTTTGGGTTTGTTTTCCTTTCTCAGCAACTCGTGTTCAATTCAGTGACCAATTGCTTGGGGCCACGGAAGTTCCTGCACAGTGGGAAACTCTACAAGGCCAAGAGCAACAAGGAGCTGTATGGTTTCCTTTTCAACGACTTCCTCCTGCTGACTCAAATCACGAAGCCCTTGGGGTCTTCCGGCACCGACAAGGTCTTCAGCCCCAAATCCAACCTGCAGTATAAAATGTACAAAACAGTAAGTTCGAATCTACATTGTACTCTCAGGGTTGACCTGTTCGAGGAGGAAGAAGTTTCCAAAAGGAGCCAGAGTTTTAGCAGGGTTTGGGGTTGTGACATGGAGCAGAAGGCAAAGGATTTAGGGTGACCCAAGCAGGGGATGGTATAATCCCCACAGGAGTTCCAATAACACACAATTCGATTGACATTTATTTGCTCCCAAATGGCTGCCGTGGGTCCCCCAGGACGTGACAAGGTTACCCGGTAGGAGCTCATGGTCTAGTGTACAGATGAGGCAGGAAAAATCTTGACTAGAGGTACAAAGTGCCATCGACTCAAGTGCCCACGTCACCTTCCAAATGGTCCCAAAGCCCCCCCAACCTTCTCAAGGTAGCTTGCAACGTCTGTGCCTCTCGCATTTCCAGCAAAAGGCTCTCTCAACAGCCGAGGTGTGGAGAATTTCCTTAAACTTTCTGTATGGTCTGCTCATACGTGCACGGCTGTGTTTTTGTGTCTTTGAGTCATGAGATATTGTTTTTCTAAGTCTGTCTGCGGGGGGGTGTTCTTACAGAAGAATTTTCTCTGAAGCAGCAGTTAGCTTTATTTTGGGAAAAAGAGCTGTATTTATACAGATTGTTACTAGAAACTGTGTGTGAAAATCTTCGAAGGGACTCGCTTGGATGTCGAGTGAATTGAGACTGTTTGCTGTTTAGGATGTACCTTGGGAAACACAGGCCAGCCGAATCTTTTTCTGAAGGACTTAAAAGTACCCTCAAAATGCAGGGGGGTGGAAATCCATATTTATAATTTGCAATACATAAAAGTCGATATTAACACAAAATCATTATTCTGGTGTAGTTTACTGGAAAACACACCTTTAGTCTGGTTTACTGGAAAACACCTGCAAACACATACACACACATGCACACACGCGCGCGCTGAGTCTAGGTTACTGAAACACACACACGTGCGTGCGCACGCTAAGTCTAGGTTACTGAAACACACACATGTGCGTGCGCACACACAAAGTCTCGCGCACTAGGACCCGGTCATCACGGAAGCACACACACTCACAGCTTGCTAGAACACACAGACGCAGCCTACGTTTGTAATGCCTGTGCCTCCCCTTGCAGCCTATCTTCCTAAATGAGGTTCTGGTAAAATTACCCACCGACCCTTCTGGAGATGAACCCATCTTCCACATTTCCCACATCGACCGAGTCTACACCCTCCGAGCAGAAAGCATAAACGAAAGGTAAGACCTGCCGCCTCCCTAGCACCGGGCCCCGGGATTCTGCCGGGTCTAGGACACACGAGGGGCGGTTGATAAATCTACAGGTCCCAACATTCCCCGGTCCCAATGCCATAACCTCTGGGGGTGGGCACGATACTTTCTTCTAGAGCCTCTCAAAAGTTTGACCCGTGGCATGAATTTTTCAAAATAAAATGGATTGAAACTAATTTTGCTTGTTATTTATTTATTTTAGAAATTTTCAGCATTCTTTGAGATAAATGGGGCATCTCAAGTTTCCCTGGGTTTCCCAGGTGGCAGAGACCAACAAAGAAGTGATTTGGGGATTAACAAGACCACCCAAACCTGAGCCCCTCCTTCCCTGGCTCACGGGGCGGGCATTCTGGATCCCAGAGCTGCGGGTATTTGGCTTCCATCGTGTCTTCAAGACGCTGCCCTGGAGCCAAGTGAAATAGATCATTTTCTGAAGGGTGAACTTGACACAAGGCCAACAACATTCCACAGAGCATTTGCGCCAAGCAAGAAAGTTGGCTAAAGTTATTGCGCATATGGTTCTCAGAAAAAATGGAGGAGAAAACACCATCCCCAAATGCTTCCTTGCGGGTGCTTCGCATGAAGTGGTTCTCAATCCGGGAAGACGTTTTTGTTCTTCCCTTGGGTGATTTCATGAGAGAGGTCCCTCTGCCCTTATGGGGTTAGGCCAATCTGGGATGCTCTTCAGCAAGGGAGGAAGAGGAGGCATGTGCCATCTCCTCCAGGTCAGCATCTGTCATAGATTTTCTTCCACGGGGACATGCGTGCGGGTCTTGAGTACACCTGTAAAATGTCCCTCATGCCTTTCTTATTGATGGTAGGAATAAGTATTAGCATCGTGTGACATAAAAATCAAACTCTCTTTTGTTAGTCTTTGTTGTTCAAAGCAAATGAACAAAGAAAATAGAGTCCTGGAAACAGAATTTTAACAGACCTGAAGCCTTTTTCCTGGGTTCTGTTTGGCAACTTTCTGTCTTTTTCTGTCCAAGGACTGCCTGGGTGCAGAAAATCAAAGCTGCTTCTGAACTCTACATAGAGACTGAGAAAAAGAAGCGGGAGAAGGCGTACCTTGGTAACGTGTCCCTCGGCAGCATAGCTGGGTTCCCTGCACAGTGGGAGCAGGGGGGCCATTTGGCTGGACCCAGAATCCTGGGGGTAGAAGGTGCCCCCAGCCCTAGAGCAGGGCATGAGATGGGATGGATGTGAGCGTGGGGTGGGATGCAGACGGCAGATGGGGGACACATTCCAGGGTCAGGGAAGCAGGGGTTTGGGGAGAGGAGGGGAGAATTACTTTTGAGTAGGGACAGGAACGTAAAATGGATTGCAATGCAGACAGAGGTGGGACAGGCGTCACGTTCAAATAAAGCATTTTGTGTTGTTTTTCCTGCCGTCGTAGTTCGTTCCCAAAGAGCAACAGGCATTGGAAGGTTGATGGTGAACGTGGTTGAAGGCATTGAGTTGAAACCCTGTCGGTCACATGGTAAGGCCCAAGAAGCCCCTTTCAAGCTCACCCTGTAGGGCTGGAAGCCTCATTCCCAGCACCCCACCCACTTTCAACCAAATGTCCTGTCTCCATACTCCCCACTTTCCTTCCAAAATTGGTTTTTCTGGCACTTGCTCAAAACCTGGAGGTATTTCTTTTTTTTTATCGTTTCTACCTTTCTGCTTTTCAGAGCAATCTGAGTGGCTGCATTCACAGTAGATGTGACACAAAGTGAGGCCAAAGTGAGGAGACAGGCAGGGCCTAGTTTAAAAGTCCGTTCATCTAATTATCTGTTCTTAGTTTAAGTATGATGTTGAATTGGAGTTTTCACCGAGATGCTCTATTTAATGCCACCTATTAAGTGTGGCAAAGGGAGGGATCAAAGTGAAGTGTCATTCCTGCCCGGCAAAGGCTTTTGTTCCCTCCAGGCAAGAGCAACCCATACTGCGAGGTGACCATGGGCTCCCAGTGCCACATCACCAAGACGATCCAGGACACTCTGAACCCCAAGTGGAATTCCAACTGCCAGTTCTTCATCAGAGACCTGGAGCAGGAGGTCCTCTGCATCACCGTGTTCGAGAGGGACCAGTTCTCACCAGATGGTGAGTGGGATGCGGTCCCTGTGGCCTTTCCTCCTTCCCTGTCACTTGGCTGTGTGCATAAATGTTTTCTTACCTGAGAACCTGGTGACCTGGTGCCCAGAGTTCCTTGGGCTTCCCTCCCAGAGATGAGATTGGCACAGACTCGGCTCCCCCGGAGAAGCCTTCCAGAGGCGTCTTGGTGAGTGTGGACAAACTGCTTGGTCTATAGTCATGCCAGCTGCCCTGGACAGTCTTACACTTTCCAAAGCAGGTGACTGCAAAGAGCTTCAGCATGGTTCTTCAATCCTTGGCAAAAAGCCACGCTGGAAATGCATAAAACCAGCAAATGGAGCAAGAAGAACATTAGCCCCCGACAGGTGCAGCAGAATCAATCAGTGCCCTTTGGGTGACATTTTTGGGTAGACAGAGGGGATGCGATTGTGCTGGCTGTACCATTCCTTCAACCAGCTTTCTGTTTCTGCTGGAGCCTGGAGAAGAACAGTCTCTGCCCAGCCACTCCAAGACAGTATCCCTCTCTCCCTCAAACCAGTAAAAATCAGAGAGTAAGTTTAAAGATGATGGCCTCAATTTAATTATAATGAAAGGAATGTAAGTGCTGGGAGTGAGGGTCTGACGCTGGTATCATCTGTGCGAGGCCTTTGTCTTTTAGTACTTTTCATGCGAATTATCTCACCGTGAGTTAGGGATTGTTGGTGTTTGCCCAAAGATAGTCACGTAGCTGGTTAAATGATAGAATGTGACAGAACAGTCTGACCCCCAACTCTGGGTTCTCCACCACTGTGCTTGCTGTCAGCTTGTAATTCTGGTAGATGAAGATCTGGGGTTGGATTTTTTTTTTAATAATGAAATATCATGACACAGCAACAACTCTGCTGGGGAGTAAGTTGGAAATCCTAGTGTTGGTCTTACATGAGCGATCAGAGAAGAAGGGAGAGTATAGCAGTTCCCTGGGAGATTCCCAACATGCCAAACGCATGCCTTGCAGAGAAAGAATTCTCTCTCTGAGCAGAGTGTGTTTGTTCTCTTTTCAGATTTTTTGGGTCGGACGGAGATCCGTGTGGCCGACATCAAGAAGGACCAGGGCTCCAAGGGGCCAGTCACGAAGTGTCTCCTGCTGCACGAGGTCCCCACGGGAGAGATTGTGGTCCGCTTGGACCTGCAGTTGTTTGATGAGCCGTAGGGACCCGGCGTGGCATGTGCTCGGCAGAGCTCTAGCCTGAGGCAGCACATGCCGTCTGGAAATTGTGTTCCTCTTCTGAGAAACCACTATTGGGTGTTCAGCCATGGGATATGGGACATCAGTGACAGGCCCCTAAAAGCTTCTAGGAATAATTCTTGACAATCCTCTCCACCCCCCCCCACAAAGAGTTTCCCATTTTATGAAAAAAACTATGTTTTCCTCTGCCCTCGTTGCAGGTCTCATCATGGCTCCTGGGGTGTCTGAGTCCCTCAGCCCCCAGGGCCTGCTGTCGAAAGTCTGGCCTGGCCCTGGGCTCGAGGGATGGGTCTGGTTATTACAAAATAGATTCATAAATGCAATGTCTGTATTTTTGAAGAACTCATGTTACCCTTTTACTTCTTACCTCCACCAGCCTCCAAGTGGACTCCTTGCTCAGTCCTTGGTGTATGTTTGGAAACCATTATGGTCCCGTGGTTGCTTCCGAATCCCACCCCGCACAGGAAGGTGCTGCCCTGGGGCTGACCCCTCAGCGTGACGTCTCCTGATCGGGCCCTGGCTTAGCTCTGTGAGGAGCTGGTCTGAGGAAAGTTCTAGCATGTATGCTGTGATAGCTGTTCCATCCCTCTCTAGGCCTTGTGTTGATGTATGTTGATGAAAACGCACTGGCACACCTCTGGGTGGGTCAGTTCTGACTCCCAATGTGCTTGGGATATGGTCACAGAAGCTCTTTATCGACGTGGTTAGTCTTTGCTGGATCAGATCCCTGCAGGTCACTGGAGAGGCAACTTTGGGACGTCACTGGGTCCTGGTCGCCAGCCATGTTGCAAGATTCCCCTTTGGCTGAGAGCCCTGTGATGTTTTGTGATGAGAATAGTTACTGGCAACCACTCTGAGCCTATCCTGTGTTCAAATATAGTGGATCCCGACTGTCGTGGGAAATTTCAGCAGCTGTCTTTGGTACGTTCCCCCAAAAGCCATGTTCTGGGTCCCAAAGGTGTGCAAAGGAAAAATGTCGAGCTGGAGGTGAGGAAAGAAAAGGAAGGAAATCCATCCTGTGGGGAGGGAAAGCCCCCAGCAGCATGCAAGCCCGGCAGACCTAGGGGGAAGATCGCGGACTCTTTTCCACACTGGTCGTGCACATGCCAACCTCTCAGTAACGGAAAAGCACGTGCCCATTGCCAGAGTCGGGACGGCATGACCAGGTGCCAAACTGTTTGGTCTGAGTTCTTTGATTTCTTTCCCCCTTCAATGCTAGGAGACAGGCTGGTTAATTCCATAGTAACTTGATTTGCTAATGAAAAGTGTGGCTGCTGTCTGCATGTTAATGTTCTCACAATCCCACTTTTGTGGTCATGAAACGTTCTTTGCACATTCTCTTGGTACCAGAGCCTAGCTTTCCCGCATTAGATGGTGTTCTCTTTGATTGTAGGTCCTTAGAATTTAATTAGGGTCATAGAAGTGCTGTCTAAATGGTAGCGTCAGCATAGTCGCAGAGTACTCGCTTTGCTGGGAACCGAATGCGTAGTGTTTTAATTTCCCATAAGAGCCCAGTCACATTTCAAGCAATTTTTAAAAAATGTGTGTTGGAAAGGACAACGAAGTTTACATTTCATACTTTTAAGAAATACTTTATTATTTATTTATTGAAGATAGTGTAGAATTTTATATCGAAAATAACAGACATAAGTATTTTTTGAAACAAGCAGATGTTAGAAACTTTCAACAGAACATGTTATAGACCAAGTTTAACTTCAGGCATGCATTTGTTTACCACTTCCCGGCAGAAAACATGGTTAAAATACTTTAAGTTTATATTTTTTTGATGTCGTGAAGAAACTTTTAAATTGAACCTATAAATAGACATGCAACTCATGCTTTCCTATTTCTATAACCAATAGAGTTTGTTCAGTATATTTATGAAGAACATATTACCATGATAGGAAAAATAGTATTAAATGTGTAAGTGGGAGGAGTATTGGTTCATCATTCTAATCCCTTTTTTCTATTCTCTCTTTTCTTCATTGACTTTATTTGCGTGTTAATGTTGGACATCACTGTTCATGTATGTAGGGTGTGGTGTGCACCATGACAAGCATAACCTTTAGGTCCCAGGTCACCCCCTCATAGTGTCCCATTATTGCAATTAAGGTAGCATGAAAAAGCAACATGTGAGTCTTTTTCCCCAAATGACTCTAGTGAGCATCCTTGGGATGCTCCTCCAGGGTAGCAAGTTCTGGACTCGTGTCCTTGTATGTACTGGTGTAATTTGTCATGTGACCCATTGTACTGAGAGACGAGTTAGGCTGGGCCTTGGATCCGGCTGTGAGGCTCACGCGTGGTGTCAATGAGATAGAGGAACGTGGGTGATGCGTGGAGTATCAAACCCTTGGGCATCTATTCCTTCACTTCTACCTTTTTGACCATCTGGGCTATATTTTGTAGAAATATGAATAATATGACTCCTTGTCAATAAGGAGTCTGTCTCCCAGCTCTTTGATTTCTAAATACAGGGTTTCTCTAGGCCACTGCTCCTGGCTTCCTGTGCCCACCCTTTTAGACTCCCCTGCAAGCGTGACTCTTCTCTGAGCCATATTACCAGCTCTTCCTGCACTCTGACATCCTCTCGCCCGAAAGCAGGGTTTCCTGGTCACATGGCTCTGCTCCGACCCTCAGTTATCCCTGAGAACTATTCTGGGGTCTCTGAGGACAGGAGCCCTTGGGATGGGCCTTCCTCATAGACCAGCTCTCCTGTAAGGACAGGCCACATCCTGGCCCCTCTGGAGCAGGGCTTCTCCGGCTGCTGCTTTCGCCCCTGGCGGGTAGACAGGCAGTAGCATCTTCCAGAACCAGGGCTACTGTGACCATGAGAACCTCAAGCCATGGGCCATTCAGATCCAGCCTGGTCTAACCTGGGAAAAGGGGCCTTGCTAGGCTGGGCTCACCAGGAATGCTTGAGAAACTGGAGCCAGAGTTCTTCGTTTCCTCGGATAATATGTCCCTGTCCTCTGCTAGCAGAGGTGAAAGCTCTGCTTCCAAAGAACATTAATGTAAGAGAGGGCATTTTTTTCTTTTCTGCTTTTTGAACAACCTAAAGTATGACCTAAGTATATGACCGTAACCGATTTCATCTGGTTGAGTAGCCCTGAATTTAATTGGAAAAAAAATTCCATTAGAAAATGGGTAAAGTGCTTGCTTCAGCAGCACATATACTAAAATTGGAATGATGAAAATGGGTAAATTGACTACATGCAAAATATCTTGGTGACCTGGTGCCAGGTCCCCAAGTGTCCCCCAGAGGTGTGTCCCAGAGGTCGGGGAGTTAGACGCTAGAGCCACTGGGGAAGGACGATTGCAGGTCTGCCTTCCAAGGCCAGGCAGACTGGCTCTGTCTAGAACAAGGATGTTCTAGAATCCGATGAGGCTGGAGATTAAGGAGAAGTGGACAAGGGACTTCCGGTTTTCTTTGAAAGGTGGAGATCTTGGAGCGTATTTTAGAGTTTGCCAATACCTTGTATGAGGAGAAAAAGACTTCTCTATCACTACTCCTTGTATTTTTTTTCTAGTTGTTTGGGTCTTTTTGATTCATAAGAAGAAAATTTGCTTTGCACGTGTAAAGCACGTGCTGTAAGAGTTTCCGTTGGAAACAGAAAGCACGATTTGGTTTCATTTTGTTCTTCTCCCTTCCCTTTCAAGGCTGGAGATGTGCTTTATAGTAGACTCGAGCACTTTTACCTGGACACGTGGTGTACGTTAGTCATAACAGGGTCATTTCAGGCTTGAGGTTAGTGTGAGATTAGCAGTGGGGATGCTTGGTCCAGATACACTTACTATACTTTACAAGTTTAGAGCGTCGTATGCCAGAAAGTGAGGAAATGAAAACAAACGTACCTTGACGTTTCTGTTTCCTTTTAGGTGTAAGAGCTTTAGCTCACAGCAGACAGGAGCATAATAGGTAACCCCAGACACCAGTGGCACAGTGAGGCTCTCAGACAGTATGTCTGAGCCACCCTAAGAAGCATTTGGTAAAACTAACACTTCCTTCTCTTTGCACCCTGGGGTGCCGAAATGCCTGCCAGGGCCTTCCCCTCCCTGCCGGGAACCGCCCAAGTCAGCTACCAAGACTCACCTGCCAGTGCCCCGGGTCATGTTTTGTAGGAGCTGCTTAGTATTATGTAAATATCATTGGGATGTTCATTCTCCTCCTCTCCGCTGGAGTGGCGGAGTGAGACCAAATGCTTGTGTTTCTTTCTGTTTCCGATTCATTTGTTCTAAGGACACACTGAAGATGGATCCTTTTCTGAGAAGGCTGGGATCAGGTGAGGGTTGATTAGCCAGCCCATGTTCTGGGACAGATCTCAGGGGCAGAAATGGGCTTGTACAAGTGGCCAGTACTTCCCTGGAACAGCCCTGACCTCCCTGGACTCGTCAGGGAGGGGCAGGAATTACAACATAGGAACCGTGACGTTGATCCATCAGCCTCTGTCTACCTTCTGCACATAAACAGGTTCAGTGATGATAAAATGGAGGCATTTTCTTTCTTTCTTTCTTTCTTTCTTTCTTTCTTTCTTTCTTTCTTTCTTTCTTTCTTTCTTTCTTTTTTGGCAACTACACTGCAATGCCTCCCCACCTTGGGCCCCCTTCTAGAGGAAGCCAGCCCTTAATCGTCCATCAGGCTGCTCTTGCAAAGTGATATTGTAAAGCAGTATCAGAAAGACTGAGGGTGAAAAGAAACCACAACAGCTCGCTCCAGCTCAGCAGACTGGCCTTACAGGCTAAGAAGAGCCAGGGGAGAGCTGGCCTGGGGGCCGAGAGCTCACTCCTTTCTTGGGGGAGAAGCTGCAGGTCAGGCCTTTCCAGGGGAAGCAGCCCTAGACCCATCTGCAACCCCTGCCGCCCCAACGTGCTCTCCAGCCCTGTCTCTGATGAAGTCGTGGCTCTGTCTCTGCTGTCCTTGTCACCGTGACTTGTCCTTCCTGTGCAGTAGCCCCTAGACCAGGGCC